GATGAATTATACATTCAACTGGGGTTTTAACTACTGTTTTATCTCCCGTAGATGAGTATTAGCTAGCTGGAGCACAGAGACAATAGTAAACATATGTTTAATTTTCTTTTCATTTTACATTTACTAACTCATTATCTTTGTGATTGTGCATATTCTATAATTAGTTTCATAGTGCTTATTTGGGATGAAAACCAATAAATATTAAATAACACTTTGGTTAATTCAATAAACATGAATATGTAATTCTCTTTGGCTATTTTGAACTTCATGTGTGACAGTGAGATACTTGAAATTCTTTAATGACCATCACAAATGAGGCAGTGATTTTTCATAGATTGATTTTTATAACTATTAATACAAAGGTGAGAGGACATGAGAGAGTTAAGTTTTGAGTTTCCATCAAATCACTGTAATCTGACTCTAGTCCTCAAATGTCTACAATGCCAAAAGCTTCTTGGTGAAATACAACTCACTGTGAATTCTGATTACATTTCTATTCCCTTCCAAAAAACAGAAAGGAAATTAGGTTACATTTGATTACATTACAAAAATCCATTTGGTGTCTGGGCAGTCACTGCCATGTCAGAAGCCAAATGCAAATATTGTACAGGGGCAGACTCTGGGCTGCTGGACTCTGGCACATTGGCCTGTGCCCTTCCTTTTTAGCTGAGCAATTTGTACAAGAACAAATGTACAAGAAAGTTACAAGAACACAAATGTACCTACATGTTTTCATTATGAAAAATTTTTTGTTTATGTGGAACAAATGGAAAATTAGATCCCTTGAAACTTGAGCACAATTTGTCTCTTCCTCACAGCAATGTAACCATTTGCAATATATCAAGTTTCTTAAACTTCATTCAATGAAGCCAAGTCTACATGGGTGAAGCAAAGAATGCAAATGATCAATTTCAGTAGTGTTCCACCATTTTTGCTTTGTAGACTACTTGGTTAGTGCAATAGAACACTGAAAATTTGTAATTTCTCAAGTGTATTTTCCGTACAAATCACCTGGGGTTTTGTTAAAATGATCTTGATCTTATTAAGTAAGACTGAGTTGATGCCCAAGGTTCAGCATAGCTTAGGCGGTGCTAATGTTGCTGGTCCATGGACCACATTTGAATAGCAGGGTAATATAGCATGTGGCCTCTTAACTTTATCTGATCTAGGTTGTCAGTAGAAGTCATAGGCAGATGTGAGCTGTTCTCAATTAAACACAAATAAGGCAATGCCTGACTTTTATATTCTAAGTACATTATCAACTCATATTGGAATACAAAATATGGATTTTGTTATGATTTCAGGCTTGAAATTCATTCAACTATTCAGTAGAATAGTTTGCAGACCATCTGAGGGAAGGTTGCAGGACCCTTGATTCCCTAACCTTTAAGAAACACTCAACTAAATAATAAAGTCTGTTGGAAAATATCCTCAGAAGTTTTATTTTAATTGTTTAGGGCACAGCCTAGGTTTTAAGACTCTCCAGATGATTCTTAGCAGCCAACATTGAGAAGCCTCACTGGGGAAGTTACATGGCCAGACATGCAGAGGGTCAGTGAACACAAAGGCCCTCTCTGATGGGGAATGTATCTCAGAAAATAAATGTATAATACAAAGAAAATAATAAAGCGTGAGAAAATAGGGAATTCAAGAGAGTGGAAAAAAGAGGAACTGTGTATAAAAGGGCTAAGTGACAACCTAAGAATTGACTCTCTCCACCAAGAGAGACTGAAGGGTGACTGACCTCCAAAGGTGACTAAAGGGAGACTTCACAGGTATTGGCAGCATGGGGGATACTGAGTCTCACCCCTGTCATTAGTCTTACTGATAGGGGAGCAGCAAAACGCTAAATATTTTGTGTTCTGGGCTAGTGGCCTGGAACACAAATAGACTGGATAAGGAATATATGTCTTCAATGATCATTAAAGTCAAGCTAATGTTTTTATTTTGGAACTACTTAAAGGAATCAGAAATACAATTAAATGCTCTAAGCCCAGAATAAGGTAAAACTTTAAAGGGCTTGCTATCTTCCAAAGCTCCAAACTGGTTTGGTGTGTGCCCAGGGGAGGGAACACCTTCAGTTTCTACAATATAGACTACAGAGATGGTGGTGCAGCCTATGTTTGCAATGCTTTTTGACAAATCTTAAATTATTTTTATCAAAGCAGCACAAAAAAATGTCAGTGAGAAAAGTTGGCACACCTCCCACTGGTTGTGCTCTGGGCAAAGGGGCTCCTGACAAACGTTACATAACCTAGCTGAGACAATGCAGTGTGAACTGGCGGGGATGACAATCTGCCCGGATGCTTCATGATGAATGTGGTAAGTGTCATCCTAGAAAATTAACGCTTGACCTTTTCAGAGGGAACATGTCTTAATATATTTATAAGGTTACAAAACATAACTCTTTTTGTAAACCAGAAACCAAGAGACACCTGATGAACAGTAAATATCTAGACAGTAAGAAACTAAATCTGAACACCTTTATCAGTCAGGCACCACCCAGTTTAAGTGAACAAAAGATTCATGGTTTCTCTTTTTCAAAGAGTTCACTTCTTTGTGAAAGTTTTGTGATCTTCTTTCAGCCGATAGGGGATTTTGGTTACAAACTCTTATCCTTCTATCTACTGCTTGCCTCGCAGCTGTTTAAAGTTCCTATTGGGCACTGTCATTATCTCAATTTCAATTTAGCCACCAGATCCCCTTGCCCTTATAGAGAACCCAATTGGAGGCTGTTTTGTTTCTCAGCTGCTGCTTCTTTCCTTCAGGTAAAGGCTTGTGCGACAAAAGAGGAGCAATAGTGTCATGTCATTAAGGAGCTCCTGGAAATGGGACAGGCCCATCCCATGCCACAAAGAGGCCCTTGTGGACTTATTTATCTATAGGCTGCTGAAAACCTAGGAAGTCACTTTGTTTGGCTGGAATAATTAAAACGCTCAAAATGATCTCAAGCACAGATTTTCTTTCATTAAAAAAAAAAGATCAAAGGATAAAAGTATCATCTCCAAATCTCATGTTACTCAGGTGATATCACCTCAGTAAGTAAAAGGGATAAGCAAACTACATGTAATTATCAACCAATGGATATCTTACAAAGATTTTTCAGCTACTGTCTGCAATATCCATTTAATTTCCTCGTCATTCAAGAACAGAAAGCAGTATTTGCTTGACAGATGAGGACTTCCGGTATAAATAAAATTAGAGTATACATGTACACAGATGTTTTCAGAAATCATGCAATATATTGTAAAGGCTTGTGCATTCTGATGAGAGGAAGAGTTACTGACAAAATAATTGTGCACAGACTTGCCAAGTAATCATTGAAAACAATTGCTTACAACCCGAGTTTCAAAACTTCTAGCTGGTAAGAATGTTCTTTTTGTGAGGAATAATTTATTTTTATTTGTTCAGTGCTTTAAACTCAGTATGTGGGGGATAAAAGGGAAACTCCTATAGATTCAGAGTAGGGACACCAACAGCACTGTAGGGTGTATTTATGTGTTTTTGCATGTTTGGGTGCCATGGTGGTAGTGATGGTGGTGTGTGTGTGAATCTAAGGTACGTGGATATTGTGACCAGGTATGTCTGTGTAATGATGGGAAGTGCTTTGCACACCTGTTCAGTAGTAGCATTTTTTTTTTTTTTTTAGTATATACAGATAGGTCTTAGTTCCCTGTTGTATATGCAGAGCTTAAAAAATTCAATCTTGCCAGGTACTGGTGGCTCACACCTGAAATACCAGCTACTCAGGAGGCAGAGATCAGAAGGGTTGAGGTTTGAGGCTAGCCTGGGCAAAAAAAGAATGAGATGCTATCTCAAAAATACCCAACAGAACAAATGGACTGGTGGAGTGGCTCTAGTGATAGAGTGCCTACCTAACAAATGTAAAGCCTTGAGTTTTACTGCAAAAATAAATAAATAAAAATGTAATTAATTTAATTTAATTTAATTCTGTGCTTATTTGACTCAGCAAAATTTGATTCAAAGCTTCTTAGACAATTTAAAGTCTGAACAAATCGAATACACCAAGATATCTAGGTTGTGCCATCCAATTTTCTAGGTAAAAGAAAATGTTGCCTATGATTTGAATTCACAAACAAAAATATTAAGGAAATGTAGGACAAGATCCTGGAAGTAGACATTTTGTTGTTGCCCTTAATGCAGAGAAACTAAAGCAGATACCTTAAAGCAACTGAGGCCAATAGGAAAAGGGGACCAGGAACTAGAGAAAAGGTTAGATCAAAAACAATTAATCTAGAAGGTAACACCCACGCACAGGAAATCAATGTGAGTCAATGCCCTGTATAGCTATCCTTATCTCAACCAGCAAAACCCCTTGTTCCTTCCTATTATTGCTTATACTCTCTCTACAACAAAATTAGAGATAAGGGCAAAATAGTTTCTGCGGGGTATTGAGGGGGGGAGCGGGAGGGGGTGGAGTGGGTGGTAAGGGAGGGGGTGGGGGCAGGGGGGAGAAATGAACCAAGCCTTGTATGCACATATGAATAATAAAAGAAAAATGAAAAAAAAAAAAAGACATCTACACATACGTGAGGCCTTTTTTTTTTTTTTTTTTCTGTAGTGGGGCTTGAACTCAAGTCCTATACCTTGAGCCACTCCACCAGCCCTTTTGTTGTGATGGTTTTTTTTGAGATTGGATCTTGTGAACTATGTGCGGGAGCTGGCTTCAAACTGCGATTCTCCTGATCTCAGCCTCCTGAGTAGCTAGGATTCCAGTGTGAACCACTGGTGCCCGGCCTACATGAGGCCTTTGACTGCAGGTGTTGTAATTAAATCCCTTCCTGAAACCCCAAACTCTAGCACTGGGCCCCCTCATGCACAGTATTTAATGAGAACATCAAGTATTGTCTCTCGAATGGACTCTCACTCACACTAGGTATGACCATCACTAACAGACTAAGTAAGATGGCTACCTGGACATTTCAGTGTTCCTTCCCTAATAGATCTTGATCATGTTGTGTGATCACTACTATACTTACAGGGACTGTAGGCTTCTCAAGTTCTGTAGAGCGTCGGTGGGCACCTGTCTTAGCTGATTATTCTGCAGCATACTGTATGTTAAAACAAATGAAGAAAGATGTTAAAGAAAATTAACAATTACCAGTAACTGACCACAACATAACAGTGCCAGGCACTGTTCCTCGTATCAGCAAAAGAGCAGAGCAACAGGCAAAGTCATGGCTCTTGGGAAGCTTAAGTTTCCATGCTTAAAAATAAGGTCAGATAGTTAAAAATAATGAAGATATAGCAGATGACAAGCAAAAGTCCTAGGAATAAGAAGCAAAACGGAGCTTTGGGGTAGATGGTAATGAGGTGAGATTTTCATTTTAAAGGTGGTTCAGGGAAAGTCTGGAGAGGTGCTATTTGTTTGAATAGAGGCCAAAATGGAGTCAGGAGAAAATCTTGTGACCATCTGAGAAGAGTTACTGAGGAAGGAAAGAAAAAGCGCAAAGGGCCTGAGGTCATGGCTTGCTTGTCTTATTAAAGGAGCAGCAGAGGATCCAGCTTGACTGAGGAAGAATGAGTGGGGGGCAACGGATTGGGAGAGAGAACCTGAGACTTCTCTTATTGGGCTTGCAGATTATGATAAGGTTCTATTTTAAGTGTGACCAGAAACCCCTGATGAAGGGTTTTAGTAGGGAAATAATGTGATTTATCTAACATTTTTAAAAGATCACTATAGTGTTTGTATAGGTACAATGCTACTAAAGATTTTCTCCTTTCTTGTACATGGCTGTGTTTTGATATAAACTGAATTCTTTTTGTGAAGTATTTCTTCCTTTGTGCTCCTAGGTTGAACAGCTTTTTTCAGAATGTGGAGTATAAAATGGAAACACCTGGCAACAATGAAATAAAAATATATCATTGCTAGTGAGGAAATAGCATGGAAAAATATTCCCATTAGTTTCTTTATATTTTGCTACCTTTTTCATAAATGTTTATGGCACAATAATCTTGCAGCATGTATTTTTATTTAGTATTTCATGGTCCATGCAAGCCTGAGGCAGAAGACTATTTCAGGAAAGCAGAAATTAAAACAAAACAAAACAAAACAAAAAAACAGCTCAACTTGTTAGGTTACAAACTTAGACTTGGACTTCAGAAACAATGTGCCTGCTCTCTCACCTCCACCAATGAAGTTTATTTTCATTTAAGCAACTGGGGGAGATTCAATTCCAGGTATGTCTAGCTCTAAAGGTTTGTGTATTTCCCACTGCACTAGGCAGCATTCTCTTGAGGAGTACTTGCTGGATGCGCAAATTTAGGTACTCTACTGCATGGTATGGTTAAGTGCATAAATTCTCAAATCCAACCACCTCTGCCCTACCTCTAGCTGGATGGCCTCAGGGAAATCACCTGATCTCTCCATGCCTCAGTGCCGAGCAGTAAGACCCACCTCTCAGGCTTACTGTCATGGTTCAAGGAGTGAAAATACCTGGCATAATACCTGCTATGCGGACAGTGGTCAATAAATGCTGGGTCTACTTAGATACCTTCATAAAACCATTATCAAAACTAATGACATTGTGGGATTGTACTGAATGTGACATTTTAATTGAGTCAGAGAAGAAAGAAACTCTACAACAGTGGTTCTCAAACTTTTGGGTTTGTCAGGATCTGCTTTAGGGTTTGTCAGGATTGTTAAAATAGATTGCTGGGCCCCATTCCTAAAGTTTCTGGTCAACAGGTCTGTGTAGAGGTCAGAGAATGTGAATGTCTAACAAATTCTCATTTAATGTTGATATTGTCGAGCCAACACTATATATATATTTATAAGTATTATCCATGCTTTGCTAACTACTTCTAGTAGCATATTTTCACCTGAACTTGAGGCGGTATTGGGCTTAGAGATAAAGCATAAGTTTTGAGTCTTGTCGAGCAAGCCCATTTAAATTCCTTGACTCTGGTGTTCCGTCTGTATAATGAAAATATTATTTGATTGAAAAGGTGTTTAAGGACTAAATTATACTTTCATGTACACAAATACATGCCAATATAATACATGCCCATAAAACATGAAAAATGGTTGGAGATTATAAAATTTATACTTTTCTCACCATGCCTGAGATTCTGTTCTCTAAGGAACAAAATTATCATTTGTATTCTAGTAGATCTACTTAATTAATTTCACTATATTAAACTTGGATTCAACTAAAACTTTATAAGAATCTTAAATATGTTGGTTCCTTATGAATAAAGTTGTTTTTAGCAGTTAGTGAGAAGTGCAACTTGAATTTTGTATTTTGCATAATTTAACTGAATATTAAAAGTTTAGCTTTCTATGTTACTTTACATGTTTCCAAGAAGTTTCAATTCACTATCTAATTTTAGGCTCAAAAATATTTTCCAAGTCACTCATTAATTTTATGATAAATTTAAATGATGATATGATGTAGATAATGGATTTAACTAATGTCTAAACTTTTAGGTACTATATTATTGGTACAAAGTATGTATTCAATTATTCTGTTTTTTCTAACTTAATGATGACACTCATAAAATGTGGTTTTTCTAAAATATCTTGAAAATTGGAGCAAAAGACAAGAGGTATTTAGATAGCTTTCCTTCACAGAATAGTTGCATACTTTCTCGGTTGCTTTATATAACTGCCTTCCGAAAATAGCAATGTAAGTGAGATTTAATATGGGAAAAATTTAAAGCTACCCCTAAGCTACCTCCCAGTGATTTAATTTTTCAACTATTGCTACCAATAAAAATTCAAAATAAAAACTTAAGAAAGTCAATTAAGACTTGATCTTTCCCTATATAAAGAACTTTTGATTACTTTCAAGTGACAAAGCAAAGATATAAAGTTATCTCATTATATCCTTGTGAGTCTCCAGTGAGTTAATTAGAAAACTCTGTTTTTGTTTAAGATAGTTCAGTGGGAGACAAAACAATTAAAGGGTTTATAGTGCCACAGAGTGCGGTTAAAACAGAAAGAACTCACATGGCTACTGATTTCTTTTGCAAATACTCCTTACTGAATATGTGGAATATAAGCATATAACTTCATATGGGTAAGAAATGAATATAAAACATTAGAGACACAAGATGACTGCATATTTTCTTTCTTATCAGTGTTAAAATATTCACCATTTTATGCAGCATCCTCAGATTCCTTTAACTGTACTTTTTTTTTTTTCCAAAAGGACTCAATAAGAACAGACATAGTGAAGCAGAGGGAGAGGAAACAACAACTTACTGAAAAGGGTAACAATTGGCCCAATTCTTAGGTATCCCTTCTGCTTTTTGTCCTATGTGTAGATATCACATAACTATAAAGCCTGTATTCTAGGTCTACATTGTAGGTCTAGGGGGAATTCTGGCTACTTGTGAGTCCTCTATGGTTAGTTTTACCTTTCCATATGACTTTGTGTGTGTGTATGTGTGTGTGTCTGAGTGGCAGGAAGATGAGCTACTCCTTGACTGAATGGCTTGCACAAGAAAATGAACCTTTGTTGAAGATAGCCTCATTAGATTTGCAGTATAGGAACAACAGCTTTTTTTTTTTACTACCAATATTTACAGGGACAGTAATCTTAAATATTAGTGATTTTTTCAGAGCTCACAGTAATAAGATTTCAGATATAAAACAGCCCTCACCAACAACAGCTATGGCCATCTTCATTCTCCATCTTAATGTACTTTATTATCGTTCTCCTCTTCTACCAGACAGTCTCCTTACCCACAGTATACAGGTCAGGGCCCCAATGAACATTACTTTTATATTATCTTTCTCACCATGTTATAATATAATTAGTTATTTCTTTTTTCCCAAGCCACTTTTGAACTTTATAAAACAATTGAGAGAGTTTCCCTGAGGGCATGGACAAGTTTACACTGTCCAGAATTTTACCTACAGTGCTGTGATTCTTAGTCGTATTAGATAGAATGATCCCTTTAATAACAAATATTTTATAATACCTTTTCTACTATACTTAAATGAAATTCATAAAAGTATAGCCTATCTATACACATCCTTTCAAGGAACACATCAATATAACGTACTGTCCTAATTGCATTTCAGAGGAGAAATTCAGAAAAAGTAACCTGTAGTAAAATGGTTTATTTATCACTATATACGTGGTGCTCACATGTGATATAGGAGACTTTTTTATGGATGAGTCAGCTGCTTGTTTCTACTTTTAATGCATAAGGTTCTAAAATAATGTGATTAGAAGCCAAGAATAGGGACAGGAGAATAGAGGTCTAGATGGAAACAGGAATAAAAAACTAATTAAGATACGTAATAACTAGTTAAGATATGTATATGGTGAGGCCTTCTGGTGAGGGCCTTGGAAGATAGCATCCCTATGGCAGGAGTGGATGCAAGAATAATGCATGATAAGATAAGAAGCAAGAGAGATTCAGGTGACATGCTTTCTCCTTTTATAACAATTTAAGGTCTTGGGAACTAACCATGGTCCTAGTGATCACTATGCTAATCTCTTCTCAGAATGGCACTTCCAAAACCTAGCAGCCTTCTACTAGGCCCCATCTCTTAAGGGTTCCACCACTTCAGTACTACCACACTAAGATCAAGCTTCTAGCACATGAAGCTATGGGTTCATATCCAAACCACAGCACCTATGATTTTCATTTCCCAATCAGATTAAGCCATGCTTTCTGGAGTGTTCAGGCAAAATGCACCAGAGGAAGCAGCAAACTTACATAGAGCATTATGGTAGAAACCCACATCAGAATGAAAGCACACCTTTTTGTTTATCATGCAATAGATATTACATAAATAAATATATAAGATTGGTTCAATACCATACAAAATTAAGAGAATAGTGACAAGTTTAGAGGTCCTTTGTTTTCTCTGTATCATGAGTCTGAATCATTCATACTACAAATATTTATTGAGTGTATGCTATGAGTCAGTTCTAGGAGCTAAGATATACTACTGACCAAAGCAGATAATATCTTTAATTTCATAGATCTTTAATGTATCATGGGAAATATCCTATAGAAATATGGTGCAAATTAGAAATATATGATGGTATAACTAGCTACTCAAACATAAGAGTTAATTCAAACATAAGAATTCAAGGATTGAAAATTATATTTCTAAGTAATTATATTGGTTTCTTTGTAATTCATATATATTCATATTATATAATAGTATTTCAATAAAATTATAACTGCTGCAGATATACACATATACACATACTAGCTTATAAATCCCAATTAGTATACATTTTGTTAAGTCAATTAAAATAATTTAATACAGTATAATTTAACTTATAAGCATCCAAAATACTTTGTGGTACATAGCTTGACATAGAACAAAAAAGGTCTCTTTAGTTGTCTTTACCTTCATTTGGTTTTCATGATATATTTTGAGTGGTTCCAAGTATTTTGCTGGGTTTGTGGAGCTGTACACACATTAGACCTAGTGCTACAATTCAGAATTTCACCACATAATGAATTGGCATTAGGGTTTGCCAATATGACACCTTAAACTATTTCTGCTTACTAGAAAAAATGACCCAAATAAGAGAAGGAAAACCAAGTCCAATTATCTAAGCAGACCAAATAACAGTTCTTTTATTGAATTTAACTTTAAAAATTATTAAATTTAATTAAACTGCCCTTTCAATTTATATATCTCTCAGGCCACTGAAATACAGTTTTCATTAAGCAGAAACAGAAAAAAAATGCTTTTTTAGAGCTAATACCTTTTACCTCAAAGAAAGGAAATAAAATCAGTGTGTTTTTTTCTGAGTTAAAATTTTCCTAGAATGACTTTCAACTTGCATTACATATTTTTTTGACTTTTAGGTGTTCCTGCACAGAACAAAGTGAAAGAAAATTAAGCAATGAGTACTGGAAGAAGGAGGTGTTCGATAACACGGAATTTTCTGATAAATAAATTGGGAAGTTGGACATTAAATAATAGGAAAACACATTTGTAATTCTCAATGAATTAACATTTCTTAATTAAACAACTCTTTGGTACACTAGACTATGCACTGGGCTTTCCCACATCTATTCTCTGGTAGAACACAAACTTGGTATTTTTTAGTGGGTTTTTATGCAGTGCATTGTAAGGAAAGAAACTTCAAGAACTGGTTTGAAGCTGTGATCTCATGTCCACTTCATAGTGATTTATTCACTTAGTGATCCAAATAATTTGAGACACGCTTCCCAACTTCATAACACAAAGGGAGAAAGAAGTACTCTTTTACAAGTTTGAGGTGATAGGTGGTTATTTATAGGCAATTAATTTTAAATATTAAAGTTAGAAAAGGAGAGATGAATTTTTTCATACATAAATTTAGCCAAGTGTAATACAGTTCTTAGAGTCTTTCTTGTAGGTAGACTTGAATTTAAATAAATTATCTGAGGGATCCAAATACTTTATTAGAGGGACTCAAGACTGACAAGTTAACTAGCAGCGATTTGACAATAAACCAGAAATATGCCCCAAAACACTCTGTTTACTTACAGAACTTTAAGACTGCAAAGGCCAGTGAATGCTCCCTTGGGAATGTATCTCAAAGCGTTTCCAGCAAGACGCCTGTGGGTTTCGGTGGATGAGGGGTAGAGAAGAAGATAGAGGGAAAGAAATAGGTCTTTAAGTTGTTAAAAAAATGCAGTACAACTATGTTCAAACCACAAATGCTAAAACAACTGTAAAGAACCTTGCTTTCCTATGTTTTGTGAAAACTTTCTATAAATTTCTGAGCAAAATATTTTCAGGAGGATTGCCTGAGCAAAAATGTAATAAATTATTTTATAGTATATCACCTAATAGGTTATACTACATGGCTACGTATGTATGTATATATACCTACATATTCCTATCTGTCCTTTTAACCTTTTTTTTTTTCAGTACTGGTATTTCAACCCAGGACTTTGAGCTTGCTGCAGGTACCCTATCACTTGAGCCACTCCTCAGCCTTTAATTTTTTTTTAAACAAGTGCTAACATCACATCATAATTTGCAAAAAGCATTGTAAATCCAAAATGTGACTTACATGATTTTTACAATGACTTTTTAAGCATGAATAAAATAAACAAGAATATTTTGATTGCAATTATATCACAAAGTACTTATTTTCTTATTAAATTTGTGAGATAAGAATACAAACTATCACAATCATTTTTCTTAATTATCAGAAAATGGTAGAGTAGCTTAATTTAATTATTGAGCTGTGCCTTAAAAAATGGAAAACAGTTTAGAATGGAAGATATTAACATGGGCTATTTAATGGAAAGTTTTGATGCTATTTACTGTTAACATTTAAAAAGTTTTCTTTATAATATTCTTCTAAGTGGAAAGAAGTCAAGGTGAGAAAATATGTAAAAAGATCAACGAGGGATGCATCTAAAACATCTGGTTCTGTACTTATTCAGAAGCCACGTCAAAGCCATAACCTGAGATGTTTGAAGGTCCCACTCAAGAACACTAATGTGACTGAGAGCACCATAGGATGGTGTATAGAAGTGAAAAATCAAGACATCCCTGTCTTTTATTGATGGAGATGGGGATTAGGGGATAAGGATAGAGTTGGTCCATTTGACTAGTGTTTTCTTCTGAAGGACCTAATGACCTCAAATGTATACTTTTGATATTAACTACAAAGGGGAGTTGACTTGACTGGAATAAATATTCATCATACAACTTTAAATGTATGTCTCATTGCTAGTCCATAGCACTGATAATAGACCACAAGTGAATAATTACATAAATGCTACAATTATCTTATAAATAAACTTCTGAATACCCTGGTTTTTTTGTATTTTTTTTTTTTTTGGCAATACTGGGGTTTGAACTTAGGACCTCACACTCCCTAGGCAGGTACTCTGCTGCTTGAGCTACATCACCAGCCCTTTTTGCTTGTTTTTTGGAGATAGGGTCTCATTTTATTTTGCCCAGGCCAGCCTGGACTGTGATCCTCCTATTTTTCAACAATTGCTGGAATGCCAGCTTTGAGATGGGGTCTTGCAAACTATTTTACTCAGGCTGGCCTTGAGATTTTCCCAATCTCAAGTAGCTAGATCCTCCCAAGTAACTAGAATTACATGTGTGAGCCACCAGCATCTGGCTCTGAACAACATTTGTATTAAGAGTATTTTCTTAATCCAAATTAAATTAAAATTATACATAGCAAAATTTTTGTCATCCTGATTTTCAAAAGGAATTCAGTGACATAAGAGACTTGAACCACTTTAAGAAGGTCTGCTTATCTTGCATTTGCAGCACTACCTTATTTTTGTGTTGTTAAGTTAGCAACTATTTCTGTGCTCCATTTTATCAGTAATTATATGAAATGTTAAGATAAGATGGCTTCTGAGGTCCATGATTTCCCTATCTTGTCTTGTGGTTATTTGTTTGTACCTGTTTTTCTTTCCCTTAATAGGGAAGGACTTAGCTTTCCCTTCTAGAAGACTTAGCTCTCATTCTGTATTCCTCCAGCTTTCCTCATGTACATAAAGAAGTGTTTTTTAATTGATAATAAACTTAAGGACTCAGTCTACATAGAGTAGAAAAAGAGAATGCCTTGGCTGAAGTGTGTGTGTGTGTGTGTGTGTGTGTGTGTGTGTGTTTAATGCGCCTTTGTTTGCAAATAACATTTGTGAAAATGGACCAAGGGGAAGAAATTTCTTTCTTCCTCTGCATGGTGAGAAAAGTTTGAGAGTCAGTAGCCTAATCATGGTGAGCATTCAATAAATATGTCACTAACATGTAATTCAGCTTAAAATTTGGCCAAGATGATTTCTGATGCTTTTTAAAAAAATTGCTGCAAGAGTTTCTAAACTCTTACCTTCTGTCTGATCTGCCTACAGTCAGTCTGTCCCTACTCCTCCTCACTCAGTTATTCACTGATGGCCATTATACAGTCAACTCTGATCATATCACTGCCTTAGTCAAAAACTCTCTATTAGTTCCCATGCCAGGTGAAAAGAAATGGAAAGAAGTACTCAGTCTCTTCTCCCACAACTCCCTTTATGCTGGAGCTAAACTAGACCATGAGGCTTGCCCTCTACTTGCTCTTGTCTAGCCCTCTGCTTCATGAGATGCTCTTCTTCCACTCCCTTCCTGTCTCTCAAAGCGACTTCATCCCTGAGCTTTCCAATCGCTCTATTTTGACCCCCTTTGGAAGCATTTGTGCCTGAATTATGGATTTTATAATCTGCCTCTGTTACACTATGGGCCTGCCTTATGACACATGAAACCTGGAGATTGTCTTTGTGTCAATTATAGGGACTTGAATAGTGTCTGAAACGTAGATTTTCCAACTAGCACTCAGCTAATAATTTAAGCAGATACTACTAACTGTCCCCCTGTATCCAGTCCCTTTTCTTCTAGAATAATTTCCCCTACCCAGAGTTTTATAGTCTTGTTTTCTAGTCATTGTTTCACTAAATATGATTACATGACCAAGTATGACTGCGATCAAAAGTGTCGTTACAATGTTTCTGTATCACTCCTTAAAAGGAAGTTGCTTGTCCCCAATTTCCTCTGTTTCCCCTTTCTTGTGAGATTAGCACAGAGACCCTTTCATGGAAGGCGAAATGAGCAGACAAGAAAGAGGGAAGTAATCTGGGCCCCTGGATGACTTTGTAGAGCCCAACTGTCCCTCAATCCTGAAGTCCTTTTTGGATGTCTAACTGAATCAGTATGGACCCCTGTGTTATCTTCTGCAAACAGGTGGATGATTGAAGGACTATTTAGCTGGCAAGGCTATATCACACCTGCCTCAATGCTGGCCTCAAGGAATCATGTTTGCAAAGCTGTTCCAATCTAGCATTCACTGTCTTTGCTTTCTTTCCCTTTCATCTTTGCACTGTTAGCTTGCAGTTGGCACACCTGAACTAGCACAGCATTACCTGCTGCTGTTCTCCTAACAGTCACTCTAAATTGGGAAGAAATGGATTTTATTATTCTTTCACACTACCTTTTCATATCCATTGAGCATTTATTGAGGGTTTGCTCTGTATTGGGCCTGCTTATGTGTCTGGGATACAGCAGTGAATACTAGACTCACACGATCTCTGACCCCATAGAGTTTGCATTCAAATGTGGGAGATAGTCATTAAATAAAAAGATAAATGAATAATATAATGTGAAAAAATCCTCTGAAGAAAAAATATAACAAAATCGAGACAAAAGGATAGGAAGCAATGGGCAGTGGTTATGGAGAGTGGTTATTTTTAGCTAAGATGGTTAAGGGAACCCCTCTGCCTAGAAGGCATTATGGCAGAAGTCTGAGCTGGGCATATTGGTGGGAAGGGGATAGTGAAACAAAACCCCTGAGGTGAAGTGGGCCTGGTGTGCTCTACGAGCTGCCAGGGGCTGGGTGGGCTGCAGTGTAATGGCCAAGGAAGAGAGCAATGGGAGGTAAAGTCAGGGCTACTCTTTGCAGGGTGTTGGAGGGCCCAGTAAGGATTTTGAGCCGGAGAGTAATGTGATTGGATCTGTGTTTTGTAAGGGTCCTTCTGATGCCACTTTTTAAAAGGAAAGAACAGACTATGAGGACAAGAGCAGAAGCACAGGAGACAACTACAGTATTCAGACAGAAAGTGGTGCAGTGCAGTAGTGGTGGGGGAGGTAAGAAGAGGTAAGACTTGGTATAGAAGAAAAATCTAAACTGATATACCACTAGGATCTAGATGAAAAGTATGCAGTAAAAAGAAAAAAAAAGCAGCATTTTAGACTCATGGGTATATTATGCACAACCCATATGAATTTGATTAGTTATTCAAAGTACTATATGTAATAGTGACGTAAATGAATTGTGTATGACCCAGAATTGTTGCTTACTGAATTATGACAGACCAGGGTCTCGTTGACCTCCCATAGATGGCTTCACTGCTTAGACTGAACTAACTAGTAACTGTTATTCCAGTCAAATGTCCCTAACTCCTATTCATAGTCATGTCTTCAGTAGTACAAGTTTGAGTTCCAGAACACAGCCTTCAACTAAATGTTTATTAATTCTCACAAGTCCTAAAGTGTTAACAGGTAGCTTGATGGTTTTCGAGAGATTGAGTTTGGAAATGAAAAGGAAAAAAATTAAAACTTTTTATTTATTTAGTCAGTTTAAATTATTATCAATTACATTTCCTGAACTTCCTTCACACAAATTGTTTTTCTTTTTTGAGTAGGGATTTCCAATGTCCATGAATCTGTATTCAGCAATAATCTATGGACTCACTGAACTATGTTATCAGAGCAGTGTGTCTCAAAGTGAAGGAATTTATGATGTACTATTAGCTGTCTGCTGGACTGGTTTGGTGGCAAATTTGGCCTAGTGATAAAAGTTATATATGTATATATATTGGCAGTACTGGGGTTTGAACCTCAGGCCTTATGCTTGCTAGACAGGTGCTCTATCACTTGAGCCACACCTCCAGCCCAACAAAAGTAAGAATTTTAGAAAGTAAATCATCTTTTATTTTTTTACCATGTGAGGTGGTTTTAGTAATTTTAAAATTTAAATACATATAAGCATACAGACTTTCAAAAGTGTAACAGTACATAAATAGTAAGGATCACACACAAACCTTTCT